TGACATCCTGAATCTACCATGCTGCCAAAAAATTGAGATTCACGCTATTTCGGTACTCTACTGCCTACGAGACACGCAGGCTGTGTAGTACATATAGTAAACCGCAGAGGCTTTAGTATGAAGTTTCTGTAACTACTATTTCTATGAGCTATGCCCGTACTTGCTGTCGTGGTCTCCTGGGCGGCTACGAGCTTCCCATCTTTCTTCAAGTGCTAAAAGCATGGTGCTTCTTGGTCAAAACAACGACACGTGTTTTTTTTTGTTTTTTTTACTGACCTACACCATTGCGCAGGAGCCATAATGACGTCATTTTAACAGGCACCCACTGTGCTACTTTCTGATACGCTTCTCATTTTGCCGTTACTTTCGCTGCTGCGAACTGCTGTTATTCGGAGTTTTTATAATGGCAATGTCAATTACTGCCAGTTTCTGACGATTTTAATTTGTAATAATGAATGTACTTCGTTATCATTGCGCTATCATTAATATTATTGCTACATGTATATTTACTTCACGCCGGTCGCAGCGAAGTGGAACCTTGAGCATCAGAGGCTGTTAGAAGGTGTTTTTGGTAACCAGTCTCAGACTTTCACAACTGCAGTCACTTGCAATATTGCATTACCATAACTTTAAAAACTAATATCAAATACCATAAGAACTTCAAAACACAAACCTAATAAACTAATATAATTTTAAGTCTTATACGTATAATAAACTTTCTGCTCCCGTACATAACTCACTGGCAGGATCGCTCGGTTGTCTTTGTCGTTTTATCATTCAAACGCTGGTAATGAAAAAGAGAAGGGTTTAAAGATCGCAATTTTCACAACGATTTAGATAGGGTATGCCTCGGTAATTAAGTCACATGTGACGAAATTTCCAAAAATATTAATTCCTGAAGATCTTACGTGTTCGTGTATTACATATATGTGCCTATATCTGTGCGGTAGGCTTACTTATACCCCACGCTCTGTCAATGTTATTCAGGAAACCGTGTTATACATTGTTGGTATTGATTTATAGAGCTTTTTGTAGGCACCTAATCAAGATGTACCTAGCTAATGGGAACGACAACAAAACAAAGATTTTTTAAATCTACATATGTCGTGTTAAGCTCGGAACCTATAACCCGGAGACTGCAGGAACTAACAAAAGCAAACTGTGTGAACTCTATGATTATACATTTACATGGGCGTTACTGTGCTCACAGCAAATTTTCTATTCTTTTTTTTTTTATTTTCTAACCTCACCCTTTTTGGGTTAAACAGCAAATATCTGTTGTGAGGGATTAAATGGTATTATGGGGATTGGTATTCACGTCGAAAAGCTTTGCTTGCACCCGTGCTTTGCGTACATCGCTATCATTTTTATGCCATTTGAAAATTTGTGCAATTTTGAAAAAAATTATAATTTCAATTATTAGAAAAGGGAAAATTTTTTACTGCTATATATAACCCTTCGTTCAGCAACGTATTGTTATTGATTGTCTTTTATTTGCTTGTCTTGTTTGTATTTATTATAGTTTTATTGTTGTTGTTGTTGTTATTTATGGAGACAGCAAAAATCGGCGGTTTTGATTTCTCGAAACTGTTGTTCCAAATTCTGCTCATTCGTCATGGTTCCGATACTCCAGAACGTCCTGGCGAGTCGGAGTATTACACCTTGAATCCAGGGTGTTACATGTAATGACCCAATGCCAAAAGGCCTAGCCAAACTAACACGGACTATATAGTAAACAACAGCAGGTTCGCTCGGTGCAAAGCGCTGTATGTTATGAGGGAGATAATGGCGACTCTTCCCTGTCGAGGTCAACTCTATATGGGTCGCCGTCGACTTCAAGCTGTTTATGTCGTTATAATGTTACGCTGAGTTGCTTGGCAATTTGCCGTCGCTTAAATTTTACTGCTTTAGGCACGTGCACGCATTAACGCAGACACGCACGCACCCGCACACACAAAACAAATAAAAGCATTGTCACTGGCTAGTATTGAAATTGTGACGCAGGATGTTCGTTGGCTGTCAGCTTTGTATAAGGGTTCTAGTTACTTCGATATGTTTCCATATCTCTTGACATATCTCTCATGTAGATTTTATACTATTTTTTATGGCCTGCCTTTGGCAGCCAATGACCCAGCCCTATATGTTCTGGTTGTTCTACCAGTTCACTTCCCAGATTTAAGGCCATAGTTAATTTTTTCCCCGTGGAATCTGAAGACACGAGCGATTCATATGTTGTGTATTATGTATACCTGTGAAATATGGCAAATACGAATGCATAGGAGCCCGCATGCTCCGTTATAGCATAGAATACTCAGAGCGTCAGATATGGATTATTTTAACTTAATGGCAATGTCTTATGAATTTTGCAGCTATGATAGCGTTTCCCGTATATGTATATGTATATACAAGTATCGTGGGCTTTAGAAACTGCAATGAAATGCTTGTGTGGAAAATATGAGAGAGAGAGAGAGAGAGAGAGAGAGAGAGTTGCAATTGTGTGACCCCAAGGAAACTTGAGATATTTAAACCATGCAGAGCGGAGGGCCTGTACATTACATTGAAAATTTTCATTTTTCCTCAGTCTACTGAAACCTTGCCCTGCACCTCCAACGCTGTTTACTCTTTTTAAATCCCCAAACACCAAATCCCAGGTAGCTAATTAAAATAAAAAAGAAAGAAGAACACAGAAGAACAAAAGAAAAAAGAAAAAATGATACCAAAGGACACCTACTTACCCTTTTTTCCTTCCTTTACTCCGCCAGGGGCTGCCGTCCAGTTCATCCAACCTTAACCGAGGTATTTATATTGCTATGCTACGGCGTCTCTCTGTCCTGCGTCGGGTACTTAACCCTACACGGCAAGTTAAACGTTACACTGCCGTCCAAGGTTAGCCGCTTTCCGCTTCTCATACGATATATGTATACCTGAATATTATCATGATGACACATTGGTATATGTTTGAGTGCGCCTGCGTGTGCGTGAACGATTGCATGCAACAGTTGACCCTTGCATTCGTGTGTGCGAGTGTGAGAGAGAGTGTGTGTGTGTGTGTGTGTGTATCTGTATGTGTTTGTGTATGTGTCACAGACGAACTTACAATTATTGAAACCGTTGTTTACCTTGATTCATACACAATTTAGCATCATGTGAATTTGTAATGTAATATACGGGAACTGTTACAGTAAGGGGAGACAAGAAATTTGAAGGAACGGCGGTATGTAGATAGTTGAAGTATCTTTTATGATATTAAAACATTAAATTGTTTTAATGCCCCGCCAGTTTGGTTGGGGTGCACACAGGTAACTTTTTATGTTAAACATTTTATTCATTCATTTGAGGACATTTCAAATGCTAAATTCATCGTTTATAGTACATGTACATGTGTATTGGGCTGGAGCAGCTACCTGCACAGCTACAACAGGTCCGTAACCAGACGGGGGTTCGGGGGCGGGGGGGGGGGGTGTGTGGAAAGAACCGCCCCCCTTTTTTCCGGGAAAAGTTCCCCTCTAGGTACACTAAGGTTTCATGCTAAAAGGTCCACTTTTTCAGAAAAATCACCCCCCTTTTGAAATTGCTATCTACCTGCCAAGCTATTACCCTACTTTATATTGTCATCTTCTGAGTACCTCTGACAAGTCCCTCTGTACTTCCCTCCTTCACTGTCATATTGAAGACTACCACAGTATAAAAAAGCAAGTACTAATGGGGCATGTCAAAAGTATGCCAACATTGCACAAAATATGCGTCCCTGACGCTACTGTAATGTTCACTTTTCTTGTGGAGTGTCCCAGCACAATATTCAGATTGCATTAGCTGTGAAGCGATACATATGAGGCGTCACTAGCTCAGTCCTATGACTGGCTAGCTGCTCACAGNGGGGGGGGGGGGGGGGGGTGTGTGGAAAGAACCGCCCCCCTTTTTTCCGGGAAAAGTTCCCCTCTAGGTACACTAAGGTTTCATGCTAAAAGGTCCACTTTTTCAGAAAAATCACCCCCCTTTTGAAATTGCTATCTACCTGCCAAGCTATTACCCTACTTTATATTGTCATCTTCTGAGTACCTCTGACAAGTCCCTCTGTACTTCCCTCCTTCACTGTCATATTGAAGACTACCACAGTATAAAAAAGCAAGTACTAATGGGGCATGTCAAAAGTATGCCAACATTGCACAAAATATGCGTCCCTGACGCTACTGTAATGTTCACTTTTCTTGTGGAGTGTCCCAGCACAATATTCAGATTGCATTAGCTGTGAAGCGATACATATGAGGCGTCACTAGCTCAGTCCTATGACTGGCTAGCTGCTCACAGGACATCAACCGTAAAGAGTGAAAATCTGAAGAAAACAAATATATGATCTCGAAAACGGAGTCATAGATTGTAGTTTTTTCTACGGTTTCGGTTTGGGTAACTTTGATGTTTACTGAAAAATGTGAAAATTCAAGATTTATTTTATTATTATTATTATTATTATTATTATTATTTTAAGGAGTGTATGTGTCCAATACCGCTGGCACCAATTTAACATGATGGATAGTTAAAATCGCGGTAGGTTAATTTGCATGACGTTACACAAAGAAAGCAAGCCAGCTATCAACATACATTTGCTAACATTGGTGGAATATTGCAACATCGTACTGCATGTGTGATTTTAATAAGGTCAGCCTTAGACATAATGCACCATTTAATCAGCCCAGATTGAACGCTTTCAAAATGTTTTAAAACCGGTTTCTGTTTATTCGTTAACCAGGCTTTCCATCGTAATATAAGGCGAGATTTTACATTTGAATCAGTTTTCAAATACACGGGACAGAATTTGCTTTGCAACTGAATTTTCGAAGTGGTCATATTTGGTGCAACTCTCACCACCTATTGTACATAATTTAAGGAATTTGTGCCGCCTCCGTAACTTGAAAATTATTCATTTCTCCTTACGTAACATAAACGTAACAAAATAACGATACGAAAGGAATACCTGTTAAAATAAGCTTTATTTACTGATATGCAACGCGTTGGCGCATCTTGGTGGTTTAAGAAGATATCCATGTTTCTGGCATGCCCCTGTACGCATCCTTAAACATTGCAAACTAAAATATTTAAAACAAATGCAAGCAAAAGGTATTGTATTGCGCAACAAAGTCCTAGGTTAAAACACTGTGTCACTGATATAATTTCTATGACAGATGCACATTTTCAATAAAGTCGGTCTCAAACCACCTTGTTGATGTACGATTTGATGATTTAAGATGCAGCATTCATACTAGCGGGGACTCCGTGGTCAAATTGTAGTGTATTTCACTTTTTAAAATAAATTTAGAAATAGAAAATCAAACATGTTGCAATACTTTCATGACTTTATTACTGCCTCTTCTTAAGCCGTCAGAACTATATTTGAACAGTTATCTTGTCACCTACCAAAAGCATCCACCCATGGCGCATGTGCAGATGTTTTACACATGTGCCGATGCCCCCTTTTTAATATATGAATGCAAATATATTAATAAAATGTCGGCTCAGCCAGCACTCGGACGTCCTCGGTTGTTGTCCTATGCAGGACTTTTTCTTTCAGCGTAGCTTTAACCATTTTCGGTTTAGTGGGTTTAGTTAGGCTAAGATTTCTGAAATTGAGAAGACAAGTTTGTTCAAATCCTTTTGGGCAACACAATATGGCCTCAAAGGGAACACGTGTCACGAGCATGCAGGGTCTCACACGCTCCAGAAGTATTAATTGAAGCACATGAAGTATTAAGGGAAACACACGTAAAATTGTTGTGCATACATGTTTGTATTCGTCTCAAAGAGCACATTTCGAATATGCTTGCAGATACTTCAATACATAACAGTTCATGTTACCGTTTGCAATTCTGGTCTCACTGCTCAGTACCTTGCCATTAGCGATGGCAATCTTTATCTCGCGTGAGTTCCGAATGAGTATAAGCAAGCCGTGCTATAGAGGGCCGGTATAACAGTCAGCAATAGTCTTTAAAGCTCTGAAGTTTTATCATGAAGGAACTTTATTAAATCACACGCGTTAGCAATTTTGAGTCAATTTTGCTAGTTTTAAATGGAAGGAAAGTTCTCACCGTCTTGTTGACCCATTTTCTCATTTGTTTTAGTTCCCATTCACCATAAAGATTCACCTGAATTGGAAAAAGCACGGACGTTAACTCGCAACCTGGTTTATATACTGTGCACTCATACAACCAGGAGGATATGGTAACCACACAGGAGCTATCCCTTCTGCGAGACAAACATGTATGATGAAACTAAGACCCCGTTCCCATAACTAGATCGATCCAACAGGATCAACCCATCTCCGAGGGGATTCTCGGAAAATTGCATTCAGCTTAAGAGGCTTAGATATCTGGCACGTCTACTCAAGCTGCTAAACGATAGTTTATTACCCCCTAACAGCTTTAGTAGACGTGCGAGACATCAGAGCCGCCTAAGCTGAATGCAATTCAGCGAGAATCCCCTCTGAGACAATTTAGCTAGGTCGATCTAGGTATGGGAACGGGGTCTGACACACTATAGTTATTTAAGATATTTAAAGTATTTTTTATGTGAAAGCATACCGGTATGGCCGAGAGAACGGCAATCGGATCAACATCCACGTATATTCTTGTATACAGTAGAAACTCGTCAATCTTCAATACCGTGTAAGTCCCGTTTAACCCACTGAGCCCATCCACCTTCCGTCTTTTATAACTTGACTGAAGTTGCCTCACCCTTAGAAAAAAATCAATTAAATACATTCTACAAAAGAAATATAAATACTATTCTGTTATCACAAAGATGTTTTTGGGCCGGAGGGGGGATTAAAAAATTAATGTTTTGAAATGGGATCAAAAGACAGGGTGTCCTCAATGTTTGATCGTGTTTCTATGGATTCCCATAAGAGGTATTTTCTTTTGAGAGGTACTGGTTTAATTGTATCATAGCACTCTAACCAGCCTTGTCCATTTCGCCAGTATGACACAACAATAATCACTTCGTTTTGTCTGCAACCACGTGCGCAAAGAAAAATATGTCTGGGGAAGGACTCCTCGGGCCACGTAGCATCCTGCTTCCCTGCACCCTGCACCCTTCCTAGGTCTGACTCAAAAGTTTATGATCATGTTTAATTAGGATTATGTTTTTGTTGTTGGCATCTGAGAATGTAAGTATTTGGAGGATCAAGATTTTTTGAAAACTACCGAGACGTCAGTTCTTCGTATATGTTCTACAAGTCTGAATGAGAGTAAATATGACAAAGTCGAATATACATGTAATTTAAATCAATCCAAGAAGTTTCTTAGTCTAACTAAATGTGTTAAGGAATGAAGGCAATTTCGAGATTATTCAGTATATTAACCCTATAGAGTAACCTGTCTCAATATTGATTAAAAAAATATATAAGTTAACAATACTAACTGCAATCCTCTCTCTCTCTCTCTCTCTCTCTCTCACACACACACACACACACACACAATACACACACACATACACACAGACATATGTAGTACGCATGCGCAGTCATATTAAACACGTGACCTTACCTTCCCGGATTCACTGGATTCCCACTATCCCGTTCATGTTTAATCATTGTATATCGCCCAATATCCAGGGGAACTCGGCTAAATCCAGCATTGTTATTATTGGTGATCCTGTTAATAATAATACAAAGTATAAATGCCAAGCTTGATGAATTCCGGTGGATTTCTGGAAAGTTTACTTTATTTTAGGTGTCATATTTTGACCTCCTTCCTAGAATGTTGTGGCGCCTATTCTGAATTCATTGAGATGGACATTTGCATTGGCCAGGTGGAACAGGTCAGAAAATAAGCCGAATATGTCAAGTATCCGTTATAAAAAAATATACGCACCATAGACCAACTAAACATGTGTGGAAATATGTCCTTCCATCAAATATAAAATCAAACTTTTAATATAAATTAATGAATAAACGCGTGAAACATATACTTTATAACAATGACGTCACCAACAAGCGCAGAGAGAAGCTGGGTCAGTTGAATCCACCTAAAAGTTGACGTCGCTCTATTTTATGACGACACATGTACAAATACTGAAGTAAAAACAAAGAATAAAGCTTGGTACATATCGGAGAATAAAGTCAAAACACCAGTATGACACAACAATAATCACTTCGTTTTGTCTGCAAAAAAAAAAAATTCACGCGTTTATTCATTAATTTATATTAAAAGTTTGATTTTATATTTGATGGAAGGGCATATTTCCACATATGTTTAGTTGGTCTTTGGTGCGTATTTTTTTTTCGCCCCTGACGAGGCCTCAGGGCCGAAACGGCCGTAGGGCATTTTTTAATAAAATGGAGAGATAAGTCTAATTTATTCGTATCCTTGATTATATATATATATATATATATATATATATATATATATATATATATATATATATGGTACCTCTCATACAGGTCGTCGTCCTCGCCTCCCCACCCAAAGTACGTGTTCGGATAACCATTCACAGAAGTGTATTGCCATTTAGTGAACATAGCCACTCCTCCGCTGTATTTCTCGTAAGCTAGCCTGCAATATCATTGACACTCATTTCTGAATTAAGTAACTGTAGGCCTATGTACAAAAAAGAAATAATTTGTTTTTATTGCGTCATACCAGTGAAAGTCTTCTCCTCAATTCTTTTCTCTCTCCCTCTCTGTCTCTCACCCTCTCCCTCTGTCTCTCTCTCTCTCTCTCTCTCTCTCTCTCTCTATCTCTCTCACACACACACACACACACACACACACACACACACATGCGCGCACGCAGGCACCCACAGCAACATGAACAGGAACTGGCACACATTTACCCGGATTTGAATTTGCTGATATTCGCAGCCATGTGCTTCACTTTTTCTGAGCAGTTATAGATGTTCCATTCGTTCTCTGCTATCAAGTCGACGTCATGAAGGGCAAAACAGTCGTACGCGTCTCCGTCTATTTTAGCTGACTCAACAAACCCGATGTTTAGTAGCAAACCACGATTGAATATAGTACCAGCTTTCTACAAATAAAGACAAAAGTAAAATGAAAAGCTATATTTATTTAATTGAGTTGTAAAGTTTATAGAACCAAATCAGACAATCACAATTAGGGCACATGCCCAATAAAACTACGATCCAACACCGCGGGGACTCTCGCTGAATGCAGTCAGATTAGCAGATTAACACGCCTCCTCTTGTTCCCAACGTACTTGAATAATCACCAACTTTTCTGGTATGTTAATCTGATTGCATTCAGCCAGAGTCCCCAAGGAGTTGGATCGATCTACGCAAAACAATATTTTCATCGGGAATGAGCCCTTAGACAGCCCTAGGGTGACAATATCAGTTTTGTGAAAATCGAAAAATCAAAAATTTCACTCTTCACTACCAGGCCTACCTGTTCAACTATATATATTCGGTAGTCCAGTTCTTGCTTTTGGAAAAATGGATGCATGTTGTTCAGGAAGACTCTGAGGTGTGAGTCACGGTCACGGAAGGGAATAATGATGGCTACGTGGATTCGAGAAGTGCAGTTTTTTGGTTTCCATCGGCCTCCAAGTTGGATACCAGTCTTTGAGAAATTGGCCTCGAGTTCTGCCCATGTTGGCGGAATCAAATTTATCATCCTCCTCCTTGCTAAAATATATTGTTGAAGAAAATAATGTAACGAAATCTATTACTTTACTTCATGATATTTGAAACACTATGGTAGCATTTGGTGGGGTTTGGCGGCAATTATTTGACATGAGTGCTTACTGAATATGCATAAAATATGTGACTTTTCTGAAAAACAGAATCATGTTAATTTAAAAAAGTCAATAATTTAAAAATCTGCATATGTAAAAGTGGTTGGCAGTTGAAAAATGCAGGGTAGTCTCTTGGAATATAATATGATTAATCTTTTGGAAAGATAAACATAAGAATTATAGAAAACAAATACATAGTAAATCCTCTCACCTAGGCCATATATAACATCTGAGCAGTTCTCCAATATAGCAATCTTTTTATAAAGCAGTTTGTCCATGTTTACGTTTATGTTCATCGCCAGGAGGACCAGAGATGAGGCCACTACGATAAAAAACATGAATCCCTTTGGTTTGCGTGTAATTTGGAACACTGGGTCTCTACATTTGACACAGCGTGGCTGTTTGTTTCCGCTGCCTTTCCCTGCCCTCCCAGTCCGTCCCTCTCCGCCGTCCATTGAAAAGACTCTTCCCCAACCTTATTGCCTAATAAAAATAGGAAATGACTGCAGCTGCGTCCAACAATTCTCAAAATGATCACGCAAAGGCCAAAGAGACGATTTGTAACTTCAGAGAGCTTGATGGAAATTTCGAGATCTGCTAAGATAGAATGGGAGGGGGTGATCTGTTTACCCTTGATTCTAGATTTCAGTATTGCCAGCTCGATCTTGATTTCATATATAACCCATATCAGCAATACTGTAAAGCTACCCTATGAAAAGATATGAATAGTGAGCAAGCTAGCTATATAGTGCCCTGACACTCAGGGCAGGTCTGTTCCACTCTTGCCCTAATTAAAATCCACCCTATCGAAGTAGCACGATTCAGAGTAAGGCTTCTGGGGACGTGTGATTTGACTGCACCCCTTTCTTCATCGCAGATGATGGATAGCTTAATGGAGATCAAATTCTTAAGCTTAAAAGTCTTGAAGTAATGATTAAAAGTTTGCACTTTAAAATCATTGCCATAAATAATATCGAAAGTTAACATGCGGGGCCGTACAGCCCATAGTGAGTTTTCATATAATTAATGCAAAATCAGGCGCATAATCTTGAGACAGCGGATGAATGCATATTTTAAATATATTGCTTGTGGTTAACATTATTATATTCCAAACCAAATGAGAGTCAAAGCCCTATGAAAATTTCCAGTTTGGTCAAAAAAATCCACTAAGGCTGCCAATTTATGGAATTTTGTGAAGATGTGTACGTACTTATATTGATTTTTATCAAATTAAATAAACTTTTTTCTCGGTGTTTTCTATGACATATAATATATATTATGACCTATATAATACATATCCGGCAGGGAGAAAACGTGTTGAAAAAATCCAATAGGACCGCATCAATAGTAATGCACATTAGTAGTATGCACTAGATTGCAATTAATGCCAATTCGAAAGATGCATTGTCCACTATCAAATAATGTCTGTTTCTAAGTGTTTTCCATATCCTTGTTTCCCATAAATATGTTTGTGGGAAGCAACTGACATGAACCTTGGGTATTTTCAGAAAATCTAATATGGTCGCTATGTCACAGGAATACAACTACAAACGTATTGCACCAGTTTGCTTGAAGGTGAACAACGAGTGGTTTTGCTAGGTTTTTCAATTAATATTTTATTTAAAACTGGTTTTGTCAAGTTTTTGTCTTTACTACAGGTTAACAGAACAATGCTTTTTCTTTGCAGAACCCATGTTATTATGTCAGTTAAAATATTTTGTATGATAGCCACGTGATCTCACTAAGGCCACCCTCCTTTTGAACATAGATCTGCGGACTAGGTTGGCCCGGGCTCTAATCGCATTTTGGATTAGAGCGTTCCTGGTAAAGGGGCGATCCATTACCACTTGATTTCCAATCTCATTCCACAGGTTTTCAACTGGTGAATATGGTCTAATCAGAAAATACAAAATGCCCTGGTCTACAGTCCATGCAATGGTTCTTGCGTCACCCTTTTTTGTTTGTTTATCAGGGTGATAAGTGGTTTCCTCCTGGCAACCCTGGTGTTAATTCCTGCAGCGTTCCTGAAACTTTCTTTGAACAGTTATTTTTCTAACCTCAACCTGCAAATTACGCGGCCAATGCAAACCCAATACGTTGCACGGTTCAAATTCCTGGACAGCAAATAAAGACACCAGTTGCGGTCACTCTGTGGTGACATTTGGATATTACCAGTGTCCTTCACCTTCTGCAAACCTTATAAACAGTCTAACCAGACACACCATATCTGGCGGGTATCAAGGGGGCATTTATACCACCTCACCCCCTCAAAAAACAATTTCTTTTCTTTCTCAATTTGTGCAGGGAATATTGTCCTTCTTGTCCTAATGGACAAGTAGGAAGTCAACAACAACAACCAACGATCAGGAACCCTTTACTGATGACATTTATAGAGGACACATAATGCAAAATGATTTTTTCCCTAAAGGCAGTTTTCTCATAATGACCTGTCAGCTGTCTCAGATTGTAAACGCCAAGCAGCAAGACTTACCCCAAGGATACAGCTACATGAATCACAGTATAATAACCCACCTGTACCGGAGATGTCCGGGTTCGATCCGAGCAAGGGGTTGGCACGTAAGACAATAGCCCTGTGTTTCAGTGAATACGCTCCAATCAGAATTTCCTCTGTTCAGTGTGCACGGAAGGCTGCAGTGTTGAATGAGAGGCTGTATCTCAAACACGCAAAGTACCAGTATAACATCGACGATTGGGCGCTCCTGCCAAGGTTCTCTTTGACGTACGTGCTGGCGTAGGTCTGGGGTTCTCGTAAGATCGGGCTAATTGTTATCAATTTGCAAGAAAAAGTTGACGAATTAATTTTAAAAAAATTCACAATAATTGGAATTATTTTATTGACCTGCATTACCTAAAAGGACTCCTCAAACGAACGAAAAGCAACATGCAGAAGGCTAGATTTAACTGGAGCTGGGCACAAAGAGGTGTGCAAGAAACATTATGCAAACTAGGTAACTTATTATTTTATTCATCTACATCATTTGTCATTTATTCCCTTGTTTCTTATTTTGCATAATTATAGCTTTGTGTAGCCCTGTCGTTCTTCATCGTTCTTCAAGCGACCTAGACGTAGATCTGTGTGGTCCTCAAGCCGGATGCAGCACACGTGGACCACAGGCACTAGTGCAAGAGCATTTCAAAGGTCGCCTTGCCTGAACTCAACTTCGCCTTTTGTCTTATACCGTGTCCTCCTTCTCTTGGTGTGGAATGAAACAAGTGTATAAAGCTTTTCCTAAATACTTGAGTATCTTTAAAGGTACCGTATCTGTCCTGTGTATTGGTCAATCACCTCTCCTGTCCTCAAACTTCATTTGCACATGAAACGTACAACTACATGTGTACATCTCCAGTATAATTCCCAATTTGAAACCCCGCTGAAGAGATTATGTGGCCCATTTAACAATTTTATCGTCGTTAAAAGCATGCCCTCATAACGCTTATTTATTCATATAGAATGGTTTTTTTATATATTTTATATAAAGTGCACACTTGAAATGGCAGATGGATATATGTAACCTAGACATCAGCTTTCACCAAAATTATAGTATCATGGACTCCTACTCTTCCTCTGTAAACAAAAACATTGTTCATCCTACATCCATCCATTGTTCATCCTAGGGGCGGATCCAGGATTATTTGAAAGGGGGGAGGTTCAAAGCTGAGCCTCAACCCCCTGCTTGGCGTGGTGCTCGGGGCCCGCTGAAGGGTCCCGAAAACGTTTGGTAATTTAGAGGGCGAACGGTGCCCTTAAGCCTGGGTCACACTGCACTTGCAACCTTTTGGCAACCTTTTTGCAACCTCAGTCGCAAGGAGGTTGCCAGCTCTTTTAAAGCGTTCGCATAAGGTTGCTAACAGGTCGCCTGTGATCGTTGACACAGGAAAGTCATTTTTTTGTGCACCGACAACCAGTGCGTCTAAAGATGGAAAATATCGGTATCCTAAAGGTTGCCTATCGGTCTCTACTTGGTTGTCAGAAGGTCGGTAGAAGGTTGCAGTTGTAACTGCATGGTCGATTGACGCTCTTTAGTCTCTTGGTCGCTAACAGGTTTTTAACCGATCGCAGGCACTCGAAAATATGTCGCAGGAAGGTTGCAAGCGACCGCAATAAAATAGGCGTAGGATGGTGGTCTGCTTGGACAAAGACTTTATTCATAATTTGTCATGTATGCCTTCTAAATATCAAGATAATACATTATAATATTTTAGAAAAAGAAAACTTAAATTGCATTTGTTGGCATTTTTGTCTATTGAGAGGGGAATTTATGAGAAAGCAGCTACTGTCACAAGTTGGCAACATATATATTCTGTGCAACCTTGCTGCTACCAGTTGACAAGCGATTGCTACAGTCCTGCAACCGGTTTTCAATCACCAAGTGGTTGCAGACAGGTTGATTATCGTTTGGCAAATGGTGTGCGACTGGTAACCTTTAACTTGAAGATGGTCTATTAGAGGTTGCAGATACCATACCATACTGCAACCCTGTGACAACCGGTTTGCGACTGTTTGCTGAACAAAAATTGGCCATAGCTTCTTAATTAGCTTGCAGAGTGATCGAAAGCGACCGCCAAATATTGTAGTTGCAAAAAGGTTGCCAGCGCAGTGTGATCCAGCCTTTAGGTACAGTTTGATTGTATGATTCTCCATGTATGATTCAGCTTATCTAAATTCTAATTTTCAGACTGGACCATTAGTGTGATTTTTTTTATGAGGACCCCCCTGACACCCCCCCCCCCAAAAAAAAAAAAAAAAAAAAAAAATCCGGCACTGTCCTACTTCAAAAATAAAGTCACTGTGTAATTGTCGTTAGCATAATGTTTTCAATCAAAATGGATTCACGGCGGAAGATATTACCTGTTGCAATTAGAAATCAGAAAAAGAACATTCCAACATGTAAAAGAGGTTTTCCCAAAGAAACTAAATAGTTTCTGTTAGTGTGGAGATCGTCAAATGGCACGTGGCAGGTTCGGTCTTGTCTTATAAGAGTTATCTGATCAGCAACACGCCAACTCTCCGCTGGAACTGCATGTAAATAAATACAGTTAGATGATGTCTGTTGATTGGCTTAATTGTTTCTTTATTTGATTTTGAAAAGCTTGTATATGCCGTAGTTTGTCAAGCGTGAACGACAAACAGTACAGATTATGCATTCCAATCGTGCGTCTGGTTAGTGAACTGGCAAAAACTCTTAGACTAAATAGTTTTCTAATATGTTTTAACCTTGAATGGCAACCAATGACGGGGAGGAGCGGCATTGAAACCCGATTCCAAGCACGGATTTCATAATTACAATGACCACCTGTTTGTTGGTAAGATGCAATCATTATGTGTTGGTTACTATATATTTATTGTGTTGTTTGAATTTCGTATGAAAGCTTGTCATTGCTTTATACTTTTGGTCTAAAAAGTTGCCCCACTTCCAATTACATGAGCTTTAATTTACAACTGATCATCTACCATTATAACACAAGACTACAATATCCTATCACTAGACTATAATACAATATATAACACTAGACTACAATATACTAACACTAGACTATAATACAATATATAACAACAAACTGCAATTTGATAACACTTGACTTAAATATAACAACTACAAAATAATAAACCAGACTACAAAATAATAACACTACTACTGTGTAGACTACAATACAATATCACTAGCTATCAGGCTGATTCTCGAACTCGACCTGTATTTCACAAACATTTATCAGTTCTGTAGACGAAAGGTAAAATGGTTTTCATTTTATTTGTATAAAATTGGATTAGATATGCCGAAAAAAGCGAATAAACAGCATAACATTTAGAAAATGGTGCGATCAGGCTGATTTTCGAACTTGACTTGTATTTTATGAATATTCATTAGTTCTGTAAGGTAAAAACATTTTCATGCTATTTGTTTCAGTGGCGGATTTAGAGGGGGTGTCAGGGGGGGTCCTGCCCCCCCCCCCTTCGATTTCTGAAAAATAATCGCACCAATGGTCTCCTCTTGAAATTAGAAGTTTGACTAGCTGAATCATAGTTCTAAACCGTACCAAATGGCACCATTCGACCTCTAAAATACCAAATTTTTTCGGGGCCCTTCACGGGGGGGGGGGCAGCTTTGCATCCACGGACCCCCCCCCTTCAAATAATCCTGGATCCGGTGTACCGTCACTGAGGATCCGTGTAACAGAAGGTCCGCCCTCCATACAGTTATAATGGTTAGGGTTAGTCTGACCTTTGTGGGTCAAAATCTAGGGCGAGGCTCACCTGTACAAATGAATGGGAAGCGGGCTCTCTCTCTTGGGGGGCTCTCTGTCACGTTACACCGGCCCTGTGTTANCACTAGACTACAATATACTAACACTAGACTATAATACAATATATAACAACAGACTGCAATTTGATAACACTTGACTAAAATATAACAACTACAAAATAATAAACCAGACTACAAAATAATAACACTACTACTGTGTAGACTACAATACAATATCACTAGCTATCAGGCTGATTCTCGAACTCGAACTGTATTTCACAAACATTTATCAGTTCTGTAGACGAAAGGTAAAATGGTTTTCATTTTATTTGTATAAAATTGGATTAGATATGCCGAAAAAAGCGAATAAACAACATAACGTTTAGAAAATGGTGCGATCAGGCTGATTTTCGAACTTGACTTGTATTTTAGGAATATTCATTAGTTCTGTAAGGTAAAACCATTTTCATGCTATTTGTTTCAGAGGCGGATTTAGAGGGGGTGTCAGGGGGGGTCCTGCCCCCCCCCCCCTTCGATTTCTGAAAAATAATCGCACCAATGGTCTCCTCTTGAAATTAGAAGTTTGACTAGCTGAATCATAGTTCTAAACCGTACCAAATGGCACCGTTCGACCTCTAAAATACCAAAATTTTTCGGGGCCCTTCACGGGGGGCGGGGGGGGGGCAGCTTCGCATCCACGGACCCCCCCCCCTTTCAAATAATCCTGGATCCGGTGTAACGAAACTGAGGATCCGTGTAACAGAAGGTCCGCCCTCCATACAGTTATAATGGTTAGGGTTAGTCTGACCTTAGTGGGTCAAAATCTAGGGCGAGGCTCACCTGTACAAATGAATGGGAAGCGGGCTCTCTCTCTTGGGGGGCTCTCTGTCACGTTACACCGGCCCTGTGTTTAACACATAGATCTGTGTCTGTACGTAAAACGCTGTAGCAATAAACAGTGCTCTAAAAGGATACAACTTGCCATGCGAAACCATGGTATTAACACGTATGTGACTTTACATTCCACTAGCACGTGGCGTTCCATATTTCGAAGATGAAATATAGAAGAAAATAAGAAATCATAATAACAGACTGCATTGATACAACATTGATACAGGTACTTACAGTGTCGTCTTACCAAGTTCACTGGTAACAGTCTGTGGAAATCACCTTCACTGAAAACGAATCCTAACTTCCGAAATTCTAGCTAGGCAACCTTTTTTCTTAAAAGAATGCTATAGTTCATATAAATCTTCTGGGTCGAAACCTCTCAAATGCTAGGCAACTTTCTTCTCTGAAAGGAACGCATTATTTTTTTTTTTTCTGAAAACAATGTTACAGTCCATATAAATCATCCCGACCGATTAAGAATCATAACTTCTCACTTCTCTAGGCAACCGGTTTCCATCTGAAAAGTATGTGCCGTATTCAGTATGATAATTCATTTTAGCCAATCCTCAAAAGGGGTATTTTCAGTGGCAAATTTACTTTATAAATTCATTTTAAACGTTTTACGTTGAAAAATGTATATGCTCTACTAAACAAACAATTCAGTTATGTTTTACGGGTACCCCGCACGTCTATACACACGTGCATGTCTCCAAAGCAGCAATTTCTGCCATGTTCTTTTTTCCAACTTTTCGTAGTATTCTGTGTGCATTTATGTCTCTTTTTTTATGTCCGCTTTTTTCAACCATTTTCTACGTTACTAGATCAATAGGCCTATTCTTCACGGATGGCGCCAAATAATACATGTATGAAGGTTTCACACATCTCAGGAAATAAAAATTGCCTTTCACAAGTAACGAGAATATCCAATGGGGCCCTCCTGATTTTAAGACGGGACCATAGGTGTGATTTTATTGTTGAGGACCCCTCTGACCCCCCCCCCCCAAAAAAAAAAAAAAAAAAATTCCGCTACTGTCCTACTTCAAAAATAAAGCCACTGTGTCATCGCCGTTAGCATAACATTTTCAACCAAAATGGATTAACGGCAGAGAATAGTACCTGTTGCAATTAGAAAACAGAAAAGGAACACTACAACACTTAAAAGAGGCGTTTCCCCTAGAAACTAAGAATAAAATGTGCAAGCTAGTAGTTTCTTTTAGGGTGGAGATCGTGAAATGGCATATGGCGGAGCCGGCCTTTGAGTTAGATAATTTCTACTGATTGGCTAATTGCTTTATTTGATTATTAAAAGCGTGTATATGCCGTAGTTGTCAAACGTGAACGACAAAATGTGCAGATTATGCATTCAGATCGTGTGTCTGGGAAAGAACTGACTAAAAGTCTCAGTGTGAATAGTTTTTAATGATTTAACCTTGAATGACAACCAAAGACGGGGAGGAGCGGCATTAAAAACCCCATTGCAAGCACGGATTTCATAATTACAATGATCACCTTTTTGGTGGTAAGATACAATCATGATAACTTTTATGTCTTGTTTACTATATATTTATTGTGAATTTTGAATTTCATATGAAGGGTTGTCATTGCTTTCAGAATTTTTGGTCCTTAAAGCAATAATAATTCTTCCTTTGAGATTCAAAATTCCGCAAGAAATACATTGTAAACAACGCATGGAAATATATTCTATTGTATTTTACCACTAAAACGGCCGTTATTGTAGTAAAACTAAAATCTGTGCCTGTCAATAGGGCTTTCGATGCCTTTCTTCCCGGTCGTCAAGGCATCCGTTGCTAATGACGTAAGGGTGTCACGCGGATTCTCGCGTTCATTCGAGACCAAAATAACATGGCGGGAAACGCGTTGATGCAGACGCAGACGTAAGTTGCGAGTTTTTGTACAGTGCGTCGGATAACAAAAAACCCAGAATGGCACAAATTGTGGATATAAATGCATTTTTAACAAAAAGACGAATATATCTCATGAATCTTATATTATTGTTATATAGTGCTGTTGTTGTCTGCTTTTCCCGCGGTTTTAAGTAGGTCACGAGTGACTATGCAATGTCAGAGAGGGCTCCGTCAGTTAAAATCTCTTAAGAGAAAATTACAAAAATGTTTCCCCAAGATTCCTCTAGAAATAGTTTAATACCGTAAATCCTAGGCATATATTAATTAAAAACTATATCTCGCAGCCCATGCCGACTTTTTACAAAATCGATTAATATATTGTTCTTAATAATTGTCCATATTCGACCTCTCCTAAATCATGAAAACATGGTATAATCATTATTAGCCATGTGTCAAAGCAGTTCGTGGAACAGTAGTTCAGAAGCAGCAAGCAAAGTAGAAACGGGCAAAATATGACCCTCTTGGAGCACAAAAATAAAACATCGTAACCTCGTTATGAACACTAGCTTCAAGAAGACAACCACGCATGAATGCAATGCCAAGTTTATGTGCAAGTTCTATATTAGTGAACGTTTAATTCGTATTTCGTTTCTGTTTAAAACTCTTCACATTGGTGCAATCTTTATTATCGCCAGCTTTCTTGATAATGTCAACATCTTCCTGACGCATCTGATCGTACTCGTCGAAAACTGCGCCAATGTGAAAATATTTCTGGCGTGGTGCAACAATAGGGGCCGTTTTAGGATATTTGATACAAGAAACACTGTCATGGCACAAGGAATAATTCTGAACTTTGGGCCAAATGACGGTATTCAGAAAAGTCATGTCTTCCATATACCCTGCGCCATAGTTAGGCATCAACTTTCTCCAGCTATGGCCCAGATGTTTCTTTACTTCTTTTGGCTTGGTCCCAAACAGTCCAGCCATAATTGCAAAGTTTCCGTGGTAGGGGTGATCTCTAATACAGTGAAACTCAGCATCTGTCTTCAGCCACTCTTCCACAAGATCGGCCTCTCGTTCTGAGATGCGGCTATCCGAATCTCGGACAATATATACGTCCAGTGAAGGATCGTCTCCTGCCAAAAACCTCCACAACATCGGGGCTGCTTTGTTTACAGTTTCAGCAGGTAAAACTTTAATTTCTGACCCCAGTCGTTTCAACTGTACGACAGTGTCCTCGCCAGGTGTAGGATATTTGGTTCCATTTCCAACAACATAGAAACGTGGCGTCCACAGAGGCATAAACAGCCGTATTAGCTGTGCATTTCTAATGGCGCCGAAATCATAACGCGGAGAGTCCCCAAAAAGCGAAAAAGAAATGATTTGTCTTGCGCTTGGTTTTATATTGGTACCCTTGGTCCATTTATCTATAAGATGTTTACTTTCCTGAACAATGGCATTCATGTTGTCAAATTCAACCTCAACTGGAGTTGCCAATAATTGAGGAACTTTGTTACAACTGACTTTCACTTTCCGATTTACTACATACTTGTCACCATATAATTCTTTCAGCCACCAGTCGCCAAATTTCTTTGTTTCAAATAAATAAAACAGGCCAAATATGTCAAAGTGGTTCCTGTGGAAAAAGTAAAACGGGCGATAATGTTTTGCATTTAGATTTACAACTTTAGGGTGGACAATCCCCAAGTTTCCAGAAGAACTGCTTTTTAAGAGTGTCTCGCTGAATATTTCTACCCATCCAGTGCTTTCCATTTTCATTTGTGAGTCCACTAAGTAGTAATAATCGTTATTCTTTAAAAATGCATATCTCATAATATCTATCACTGCCAATGTCTTGTTATCAGTATTCGGCAGAGCCAAGAGGGAGATGGATACTTTGATGGAAGATGAACAGGAACGGTTCGTGGTTTTCAGGAATGCTTCAACAAACGAATGTTTCTTTTTCTTGAATGCTTCATCCGTTTGATGAAAGCCAACATAAAAATTGTACTTATGTCCCAAAGATGCAGTCTGACAGAAGCTGTGGAGAAGACCTTTGAAAAAGGCATCTTGCTCAAAAGAGGTGTCCGGCTTCAAGAATTCCGCAACTTCAGTTTTGTCTAAAACGGTCACTATAGCAATTTCATATTTTGATATTATGTTGGCACCCTGGTTCTCTGAAATTCGTGCACTGTCATCTTCTCTCTTCTCTATATGTGTGGACGAAATTGCGAATTGAAGTAACCCTGTCGCTCTTCTGTGGTGATCAATGTGAACAAGCAAGACCGTAGCCAAAGCAGCGAGCGCCAGAACATATTGCCACCTCCAGCGAGGGATAAACATCCTGAAACATCTGGTTGGAATTCCACACCTAAAAGAGATCAAAACAAAAGTTGTTGATGTACCTGCAAGTCCAAACACTTTAGCACAAAACAGTTCCGACTGCGGCTAGAAAATACTCTCGTATTATCTCACATACAGCCAGGCGACTCGTATGGTATCGATCACAAAATAGTATGAAGNCACATTGTGGATATAAATGCATTTTTAACAAAAAGACGAATATATCTCATGAATCTTATATTATTGTTATATAGTGTTGTTGTTGTCTGCTTTTCCCGCGGTTTTAAGTAGGTCACGAGTGACTATGCAATGTCAGAGAGGGCTCCGTCAGTTAAAATCTCTTAAGAGATTTTAACAAAAAACCGTACGTTTTGGTAAAAAACCTGGATTAACTTTGAATGCAGGAATGGGGTCGATGACCATTGGTAAGTACGGGAAAATTGCCGTTTTTTCCAGGAAAATCCAATTTTTGGCCAAAACGAAGAGTTATTATGACTTTAAACATGTGCAATATGAGAAAATACAGGTTGATACATTGTTTCTTCTAAAGATAGCACAGGATATCTTTACCAATATACGTTTTAATGGGAAAAATCAAAAGGGCAAAAAAAAAAATTACAAAAATGTTTCCCCAAGATTCCTCTAGAAATAGTTTAATATCGTAAATCCTAAGCATATATTAATTAAAAACTATATCTCGCAGCCCATGCCGACTTTTTACAAAATCGATTAATATATTGTTCTTAATAATTGTCCATATTCGACCTCTCCTAAATCATGAAAACATGGTATAATCATTTATAGCCATGTGTCAAAGCAGTTCGTGGAACAGTAGTTCAGAAGCAGCAAGCAAAGTAGAAACGGGCAAAATATGACCCTCTTGGAGCACAAAAATAAAACATCGTAACCTCGTTATGAACACTAGCTTCAAGAAGACAACCACGCACGAATGCAATGCCAACTTTATGTGCAAGTTCTATATTAGTGAACGTTTAATTCGTATTTCGTTTCTGTTTAAAACTCTCCACATTGGTGCAATCTTTATTATCGCCAGCTTTCTTGATAATGTCAACATCTTCCTGACGCATCTGATCGTACTCGTCGAAAACTGCGCCAATGTGAAAATATTTCTGGCGTGGTGCAACAATAGGGGCCGTTTTAGGATATTTGATACAAGAAACGCTGTCATGGCACAAGGAATAATTCTGAACTTTGGGCCAAATGACGGTATTCAGAAAAGTCATGTCTTCCATATACCCTGCGCCATAGTTAGGCATCAACTTTCTCCAGCTATGGCCCAGATGTTTCTTTACTTCTTTTGGCTTGGCCCCAAACAGTCCAGCCATAATTGCAAAGTTTCCGTGGTAGGGGTGATCTCTAATACAGTGAAACTCAGCATCTGTCTTCAGCCACTCTTCCACAAGATCGGCCTCTCGTTCTGAGATGCGGCTATCCGAATCTCGGACAATATATACGTCCAGTGAAGGATCGTCTCCTGCCAAAAACCTCCACAACATCGGGGCTGCTTTGTTTACAGTTTCAGCAGGTAAAACTTTAATTTCTGACCCCAGTCGTTTCAACTGTACGACAGTGTCCTCGCCAGGTATAGGATATTTGGTTCTATTTCCAACAACATAGAAACGTGGCGTCCACAGAGGCATAAACAGCCGTATTAGCTGTGCATTTCTAATGGCGCCGAAATCATAACGCGGAGCGTCCCCAAAAAGCGAAAAAGAAATGATTTGTCTTGCGCTTGGTTTTATATTGGTACCCTTGGTCCATTTATCTATAAGATGTTTACTTTCCTGAACAATGGCATTCATGTTGTCAAATTCAACCTCAACTGGAGTTGCCAATAAATGAGGAACTTTGTTACAACTGACTTTCACTTTCGGATTTACTACATACTTGTCACCATATAATTCTTTCAGCCACCAGTCGCCAAATTTCTTTGTTTCAAATAAATAAAACAGGCCAAATATGTCAAAGTGGTTCCTGTGGAAAAAGTAAAACGGGCGATAATGTTTTGCATTTAGATTTACAACTTTAGGGAGGACAATCCCCAAGTTTCCAGAAGAACTGCTTTTTAAGAGTGTCTCGCTGCATATTTCTACCCATCCAGTGCTTTCCATTTTCATTTGTGAGTCCACTAAGTAGTAATAATCGTTATTCTTTAAAAATGCATATCTCATAATATCTATCACTGCCAATGTCTTGTTATCAGTATTCGGCAGAGCCGAGAGGGAGATGGATACTTTGATGGAAGATGAACAGGAACGGTTCGTGGTTTTCAGGAATGCTTCAAAAAACGACTGTTTCTTTTTCTTGAATGCTTCATTTGTTTGATGAAAGCCAACATAAAAATTGTACTTATGTCCCAAAGATGCAGTCTGACAGAAGCTGTGGAGAAGACCTTTGAAAAAGGCATCTTGCTCAAAAGAGGTGTCCGGCTTCAAGACNATGTGAATCTAAGGCAACATTGAACATTAAGATGTTTTAGCTTTTTTTCAGAATTTTAACTTCAAGGTATGCTGTTTCATAATCTCTTTCTTCCTCCTCTCTCCTCCCCCCCCCTCCCCCTTTGGCTCTCTAGTCCCTTTGTAATGATTAAGACAAGTGCTGACTTGTCAACATGAATAATGGGCAGATTTATGATGAACAAAAAGCGGGTGGCAAAGGAAATGAGGTACCCCGATCCCCCCCCCCTTTGGAAGATGGGATATAATACATACACAAGGAATGGGGTATAACAACAAGGATTGGGATGGGGGTGTTGTATGAGGTGTCTCCTAGGAACCCCAAAATGTGGATTCTAATATGGAGGGAAGTGTGGAGGGGGGGGGGGGGGGGGGGTAAGGTTCCTCCAAAAGGACATGTTAAGCCGATGTTCACATTGCCTCTCACCAGTTTCCTCCCTTGAACTAGATACATTAGGTGAACTTCTTCCCCACCCCGTAATGCCTGTGTGGTGTGTTACTGTTTATTTTGCTTCCTGTACCATGCAGCATGTCCTGTGTTGATGGATACCCCTGCCCTTTACAGGCCTGGCTTCTCCTGGACTGACTCAGCTTAGGCCACATTCAGAACAGTGGACTGACTGGTCCGCGGGTCAAATATGGCGACCCACTAAAAGGCTTGCCGTCTAGTCCACTAAGAGACACTGAATAGATTCCCCATGGGGAAGTATTCAAGTGGGTCAGCCATATTTGACCCTCGGATTAGTTAGTCCACTGTTCTGAATGCGGCCTTGGTCAAGGGCAAGGCTTGTGATGCGCCATCTACACTGCTGTCCGACCATGAGGTATCAGGGGCAGATCCAGAGATATGTTCTGACAGTCTTCCAAATTATCTTTGTTGATCCGTCTTCTATTTTTGACCATCTTCTGACAGAAAACATTAGATGGCTGACAATGTAAACTTGAAAATCTGACCGTCTTCCAGAAGACCAAGAAGACGGCCTAAATCCGCCCCTGGGAATGGCCCTAGTTCTGTTACAAAATTATTGTAACGGACCCTGGGGAACTGAGATGATCAACGGGAACGCGTTCCTTGCCAGACATACCCTTATTATTTGTCAGTGAGATAGGGGAGAGCAGGGGAATCTCACACTTGTCCTATGTTATGATATGAAGTTGAACGAAAAACATAGCCTTCATCTTGTCATATTATTAAATTGAGACTGCTTTAGCTAAAAACTTCACCTTGTGATTGTATTGATTAACCATTGTAAATGGAATGTTTTACATGCATTTTTAATACCCTTCATTTATATCCATGAAGTATGTCACTTGAATACCATTTAATGTATGTCAGCATGGTATTGATATTTGTAAATATTGGTTACTAGCCTGAACTGTACAAAAACAAACATTTTATCAAGAATACATTATTGTTGTTGTGGTGATACATTCTTGGTTGAACTGACATTGTTAATAAATACATGTGAACATTGCACTGATATCGCTATATGCAATCATCATGTTAACATCTTACTGTATGCAAACAATGTACTGATATTGTTATTATTGGTGTTGAATATTGTCATATATATATATATATATATATATATATATATATATATATATATATATATATATATATATATATATATATATATGGTTACGTATTTGATACTGTTATATATATATATATATATATATATTGTAATGGAATCTCACTACTACTATTCCTGTAATGTATTCTTTCAGGACCCAGCTGGGATATTTGACCTGATAGAAGTGGTGGGAAATGGAACCTATGGACAGGTGTACAAGGTAAGGACAGAGCCATTATTAAGAGCACATTCAGAACAGCGGACTGACAAATATGCGGATCAAATATGGTCATCTCACTTGAATGCTTGTTGCGTATTCATCTCGGGGGGGGGGGGGGGGGAAACGTAATCATTGTCTAATAGGGAATTAAACAATAAGCTTTTAAATGGGTCGCCATATTTGATCCGCAGATTGATAAATTTGCTGTTTTGACTGGCCCAACTTGTACTACGTGTGAATCTGAATGCAGTTGAAGTCATTTTAGCATAAATTAAAAAATTTTGCGAGTTTAAGCGCTTACCTAGATGGATTACTATTAGGGGTTTGTATTCACAGTGTCTATAAGTGGTGACAATTTTGCATGAAAGGGTGTCAAAACACCCAATATGTGTCTCCTAACGAAAACCCAAAATCTAGGTCCTACTTTTCTCTGTAGACTTGTGTTGACTTTTAAACCGATAGAAAATGCTGAGGATCACGTGAGGTGACTTATACTTATGGCACTGTGGTTTCTGTGGTTAAAAACGGTAGGGCTGAACATTGAGTGAACATGCCACATTATTATCTTTCCGGATGTCCAACCAGTGACACTTTTAAGTTATTCAATTATTTGTCAAGTGATATAAAGAAAGCAATTACAATTATCTTAGAAAAGCTTTCCTTATTCAGCAGTCGTTTTGCAATTCATCAACCTTGTAACATCTTTAGTTTCTGCTACAAAACAACAGTATTTTCACATGAATGTACTAGTAATCAGTTACACTTAGATTTTAGATTTTCTAATCCAAATTTGGTAGAATTATAAAAGTAGCAAAGACAATTATGGTTAGTAGTAAGAAATGGCAGGGATACTTTCAAATAGACCATAATTTCCGTAGAAAGAAATGAAAGGAATTTTTTTCTTTCTAAAGTTATGACTTCTGTTGCTTTGAGATTATCAAAAGTTAGAGCTCATAAGACAGTGATTGTGCATGACTTTATTGATTTAAGTGTCAAAATAACGTCTTCTCTCCTTACACTCAGTAGACTTGTTATTCTTGGGGTTCTTGTGTCTGGCAAAAACAGTGATTCATACTATGTACATGATTTTTTCTTCAGGGAAATTCACATTTGCTAAAACATATTTGGTCATTTTATTGTAATTTTGATGTCAGTTTGAGGAAGGACTGTATTTGTCTTGTGAAAAATGGCTTCGATAGTAATCCTGAAAATGTTATGAGAAGACAGCATTGAGTAATGTGTAATGGGAGCATGTACAGACAGGTCTTAGACATATTTTCACCTGCTACCCAAGCATGCAGATGGTGATTCAATATACCTGTGTTTACCAGGCATGAGTTCATAAGCTCAGAACTGCAAAATAAAGCAGTTACTAGTAGGCTAAAACATTTACAGACTTGGAAGTAAACTGATAGGTCTTTAACAGGAATAAAATTTCTGGGCATACGATTTAAACATGTTGGAAATATTTTAAAAAGGAATTATCTTTCTCTCTCTCTCTCTCTCTCACACACAGAGAGAGAGAGGGAGAGAGAGGGAGAGAGAGAGAGAACTATAGATTCACATACAGTACTAGAATATAACAGAAGGGAGCATGCCAAAACATGCATCCTTAGGCGTGCTCAACTTTCAAGATGGAGGGCCAAGATAAGCCCAATCACCACACTGATTAGCATTCTCTGCTCTGGTACCCCCTAGTACTAGTAACCACTGTCTGGCTGTAATATACATGTGACTCTTTAAGAATGTCTGTTACTGTATTATAATAATAACAGTGGGGCTTTGCTTGTGTGATTACCCTGGGTGAAGTCTTAGCATAAATATTTCAGAGTCGTGAAGCAGAATGTTGATTGCATCCACTCATTCTTCATTTTTTTGCTTTGGCATTTTTTTATGTTTATTAAATATTAAAGAATTGTCTTTTGGGTGAAATTAGTAATACCAAGAGGCTCTAACCTTACAATCTTAAATTTAGGCAGTTGGCAAAATCAGCGGGAAGAAGAAGGGGGTACCTTCTGGAAACGGCTTCTCCCCCCCCCCTCCCCCCCCACCACCACCACCATCACCACCATTGCCACTTGGCACGACTCATTAACCACATTAATTTTGATACATACATGTAGTAAATTGGGGCTTGTAAAAGAGAGTAAAATGCCTTGTAGCATAATTGCATATTCGGGATCAGGAAACTGTACTTATTGTATGCAAATAGGGTCAAAAACTGAAACTGGAGCAGTAAAATTTTGTAGATCGATCTATTATATTCAGATTCTGCCTTCTACTTCTAGTTTATTCTCTTTGCAACAATGAGATAGGGTACTTCTTAGGGTTCTTGTGATTGAAATCTATTTTTAAAAATAGAATTCATTTTGTCTTTACCTTTAAGAAAATACTACTCTGTCCTCTGCTTGTTGATGCCAATACAGGTACCCTTAGCTTATTAGAGGTAAATCCTGAGAATAGTGTTTATGTTTGAAATGTTAGGCAGGAGCAAGATGACTGAGAGAGAAGTGAGATTAGGAAACGGCAAGGAGTAGAAGTGAGATTAGGATACTCCAGCAAGGAGTGTACATAATGGCAGTAAGAATGTACACAACAGTAAATTACTGCAAAGTTGATACGCTTCCAGTCAGTGACAAATACAATAGCAAACAATGGGAGCTTGAAGTAGAGCTAATGCATTGTTGGATGTTAGTTCAGTTCACATCTGGTTTAATTCAGAACCCAGCCTTAACTACTGACTATAACAAGTAGCATGTTTGTTCCAATGTGAACACCATCAACTAAGCACACACTCTTATACGTTTCCTTCAAAGCACAAGGACAGGGTGATATTACTATAGATAATGTTTCCCCCAAAATTTGCCTTTATCACTGTATTAGCTATTGATTATCTCAGGATATTTTGACCATTATGCTGAAAAAATACGTAACTGTCCTAAAGTGAACCCTCGACTGTTTTACTTATATATGAGGCCAAAGGGATTCAGATTTCTTATCCACCCTCACCCCCGCCCCCACCCCCAGCCCCCTCACAGGATTTATATAAGAAGGTTAGGATAATAAGATGAATCTGGAGAACAAATCAATTGTTCAATAAATCTATATGTTGAAGACTGCTGGAAGGGGGAGTAGTGTGATTTGTATTGTGTTTGTAGAGGTTTGTTTAGCTGATTTTCTCCTGAAGGAAAGGGATTATTGTGTGGATTTGTATTAGGAAAGTATTGTATATCATCTCGAGGAAAGGCAAGCCAGAGATGTGATATATATATATATATCATTTTCAATGTTGTGCACTAGTTATTAGATGATACAGATTTTATTCAGAAAGTTACCTAAAAATAACCTATATCCAGGCCATGTTGACCAGATCTGATGAAGACCAGTTTCACTTTTAAGATGTCATTTAGTAAACCCACTTGTACTCATATGAAGATTGAATTTTGAAAGGAAGAGCTCTGGGAGACGTCAGACTTAAAGCTCAAGGTGTCTCTTATCAAGTCCATCTGTGATTTAAAAATAGGAAAATAAAATGACAAAACACATGTCTGTCAAACTAGGGACCTTGTTCTTTATCATATTTCATCATCCATGCCAAAACCACAAAAAATTTCAAGTGCGATTGCATCCAAGTTCAAAGTGACTCAAGCCCACAATAAAATAAACAAGAGTGGAGGTGCGCCGCCTTCCAATAAGCCAGACAGTGAGGGACTGCGGAGTTACTCAGTGCAGGTGACATCAGACCTTGCCGCAACCTGTATTGAACGGCCATATTGTCCCTATTGTAATATTTGCTTTGCGCCATTTACGTTAGTCACAAATCAACAGTGCATGGAGAATGAGTCAATTGTGATGGAATAATGAGCAGCCGTCACTACTCCTGATATTTGGTCTGTATGGCTGGAGGAGTGGGTGACTGTATGGGTGTATATAGAGTGAGGAGTGGTAAACCTAGGGTGGGGGTGGGCCGGGGGGTATTGATGGGGTGGTTTAGGGGAAAGGGGGGGGGTAACCCAGATGTTGTGTATTTTGTCTGCAAGTTTCTTTGTGAGATTTTTTTTTTTTTTTTTTTTTTTTTTGGGGGGGGGGGTACAAACCACATTCTAACCTGTACAATATAGTAGGCCCTCATATTATCAGTCGTGGATACCATTTTTTTTTCTTAGACATTCTTACTACCATCTGCTCTCTATTGGTCACAGGGTTTTAAAGGATATAGCACCATGTTATAGCAAGGTTTGATTTATGATCTTGTTATTGACTCTGCCTGACTGCACTTCACCATATTGCCCACTTCACTATACCATTGCACTGTGTTATAAACCCATCCTTATCTTATTACTGTCATTTCAGTCTTGTCAGCTTGCTCTTACCTGTATTTCTCAGGCTCATAATGTCAGGTTATAGCACCCTCTATTGGTGTCACAGAGATTTTTTAACAGATTTTTCAAACAGATTTTTCTCATGGCTAATTCTGTGCACATTCCTGTATCTGGAATATTTTTGTCTTAAAGGGATAATAACTCTTCGTATGAGATCTATATTTCATAATAAAAACCTTGTGAATAACTCAGAAATATAATATATTCTGTTTTACCACACAAACAGCAGTTATAGCTTTTATTCTGTTATTTGAACTTGTCTTTAGACCACGTGACCTCCATTGATGTCTATACTCTGTTAAAATCTCTTAAGAGATTTTAACAAAAAACCAAACTTTTAAGAAAAAAACCAGGGACTAACTTTGAATGTAAAAATGGATTCATTAGCCATTGGTAAGTATGGGAAAATTGTTGTTTACTCCAGGAAAATTCATTTTTTGGCCGAAACGAAGAGTTATTATTGCTTTAAAGTTAAGGCCAATTATTCAGGCTAAAGTCAGGTCCATAGCCAGTTGGGGGGGGGGGGGGGTTCGAGTGAACTGCTCTTTTTACGGGAAAACGTTTACTCTGGTAAAAATTGATCTAGAGCACGAAGGTCTCTTGGTTAGGGGTCCACTT